ACCAAATATAATATACAGGTGGATATTACTATAAAAAGGGTTTTTACAGTTATGTATAATAGCATATATACAGATGGATTTTACTATAAAATTAATAAATAAAGTTTAGACAGAAGCTATCTAAATTAAAGTGCAGTGAAAGGTAATTGCATATTACAATTAAAGTACGTCATTGCAAATGTATATGTAAACAATTGGTGCTGTGAATAAACAGTCAGTAGTGCAAATCAATATTCAGGCAAGGTGAGTAGTGCAAGATGCATATAAAGAGTTGTTACAATAGTAACAGTCAGGAGTGCAGCTAAACATTACAGTCTTGTAAAGAAAAACAGAATAGCAAAATGGTGGTTGGTGTGAGGAAGGATAGTAGGGTCTATCAGGGAGGGTTAGAGTTCAGTAAGCAGACAGCTATGGGGAAAATTGTAAGTTTACATTCGACAAATATTAAACATTTATATAGTATATAATATAGTATGGGAAAATTTGCTGCAATATGATTTACAAAAGTGAGTAAAGTTATTATTTTTTTACTTTACATTTTACTTTACATTTTAATTCATATAATGTCTTGCGCGCATCCTCCATGCAATATACAGGAAGCAGAGGAAGCGGAAGGTGGCGCTGCTGAGCGTTTGTTATGCTTTAGGATTGTTGATTAAATAGCAAAGAAGAATGTGCTACAGTGGATCAGACTTCTCGGCTGGCAGATTTTAAGTGTCCAACCGTCTCTCTGTTCCCTTTCTTTTTAAGCGACTCAGTTTTATGTTACACAGTTCTGACAGCGACCTCAGATTCTTTGATTATCTTTGAAACTTCGATCAGAAATGGCAGAAAACAGCGGTGAGTTTCTCCATTTGTGTCGGTTAGCTATGCTAGCTGTATCTCAATAAACGGATGACGTAAATAACAATAATTTGCCAAGGTTGCTTCAGCGAGTAATTATGTTACTTTCAGCCTGTTTCATTATACACATCTAATAAACCTTTTGGGTGAATTATGTAGTAACATATGTTGACGAAGATAAAATGGGCTTCCGATTGTAGATTCTGTGTAGGAAAACTGCTTAAGTGCAATTCCACCTAGTTTATCACTGCCTTGAGATCTTTAATCTACTAAAGTTTTTAAAGCTAATAGATTTAAAACTCTTTAGACTTGGACCACATTAAAGGACAATCTTCCAAACCTAGCTTGTGATTTGTTAAACATTGATTTGCGGTCAAATATATTTCCAACTGAACATGTTTTAAGACTTTTGACAGAGGGAATATAAAAATATGACTACAGTAAAGTTGGCATTAATCTGGATGCTGAAAATCCGCATCGGAATAAGCGCCGCATTCCTCCAGTTTGAATCCGGGCAGTTGCTCTCTGCCTCTTCCCTCCTCCTACCTACGGTGGCCCGCTTAGGGACAGTCTAGAAAACTCAAAGCATTAATAACCTTCATGTCCATTGTCCTGTAACACAAAAGTGATAGCGGATCTTATCACTGCTAAATAGACGAGATACACTCATTGGGAGTTATTTTTAAAGATATTGATTTCTAACATGTTTTAATAACTTTGGGGTCTTTCAAGCAACTGACACAAAACTGATGTCAAATCATTTCACCAAATATTACAAATGTTATCTAAGAGATCTTCAGTTTTATTTTTTTCCAATATATAACAATTGTATGGTAGCATTATATCATATATTTTGGATTGTGCACTTTTCTCTCACTATTTTCAGCTACAGGGAGAGTGGTGGTGTTCTGTCAGATGAGCATACCCTGTCAGATGAGCATACCCATAGTCAATACCTGTTTATCCCTTTAGTTTTGTATGAAGAATAGACCTAAATGGACTTGTATCCCTTTAGACATGTACAAACAATTTAATTACCTACTTTTTGCTGTTTTTTTGGAAGCTCATGGCGATCTGACCTTAAATTGCTTTTTTTGTACATGACTGACGTCTTGCGCATGCGTGTTGACTATAGGTATGCTGGTCTGATGAGGTATGTTCATTTGACAGAACAGTGGATAAGTGGTTAGGGCATAAGGCTTTGAATCATCAGGTTGTGAGTTCAAGCCCCACTCCCAAAGACTGTCACTCTGGGTTTCTGAGCAAAGACCCTTAACCCCACACTGTTCCCTGGGCGCCACACAATGGCAGCCCACTGATCCCCAAGGGGATGGGTTAAATGCAGAGGTTCTCCAATGTGAGATCAATAAAGTTCAATTATTTTCTTTGCGTTTTCGGATTCTGTGCAGTTAAAGTTTTCAGAGCAAGGCACGCTATCAAAGCTATCAAAGTCATCATAATGGATCTGTTAATCAGATAGAAAACATGTTTATAATGTAATGTTCCTTTTCTGCTACACACTAGGGTGTTAACTTGTTTGTATTTACCTTTAGCATAATCCAGAATCTTTAAAAAGCATTAAAACAAGTTAAAAAGTGTATTCCTCATGTGTCCGGTCTGGTTGAATGATTTGAAATGAGCTATTTTTTGGCTGGTCAAATTATGCTTAAGATTATAAAAGTTAATTTGTTGTGAGTACAAAATGGCATAATTAAAATAAAAGTATTTTAAAGCGTTTTTAGATCATTTTATGGTTGTGAAGCATCATCAGGGAGGAGCTACTTAAAGTCAGACTGCCTACATCTGTTCCCAGGATAAATCCATGGAGCACATTGAAGATTCAACATCACTGCAATGAAAAGAGGCTCCAATTAAACTAAAATTAATTATTTTTTATTTAAAAGTTGCATGTTTTCCTATCTAATATAGATTTTAAAAAAAAGGTCCATGGTTTGGGTTTAACTCCCCCTTACTTCTCTGTTGCTGTTTGTGATGCTCCTCATTTTCTTTTCAACATGTTTTAAAACTGGTGAAGAAAGCTGGTCTGATTCCCACTGAAGTATGCACTCTAATTTGCTGGAATTTAGCGTTCTGCACATTTATGTTTTCTCCTTTTTTTAATCATCAGATATAAACGAGACAAAGCTGAATAGCTCGTCCCCAAGTGGGATGACCGACCAAGAGAAGGAAATGGCAGCAAGTGCTTATGAAGCTTTTTTGGTAAATATTCTCTTTTCTTGTTTCTTTTTTGATTTCCATTTATATAAGATATGTAAAGCTGCAAACATTAACGGGATAAAAATGCATCAGCTACAGATATTGATAACATAAGTTTGTGAGAAGGGAAAGTTGTTTTGAACACAGTGATAATGGTGATGATGGTGACAGCAGAGCAAAATAACCATCTGTAGTTTTATGAACAAAGTTTCTGAATTTTTACCCAGATATGCATAATTTCAGGAGATCTGAACAACCCCCATACACACTCATCAATACTGAGCCCCTTTTTTTCTCCATAAAGTAGAAGCTTTAGTTTCCCCAAACAGAAAATGGAAACAGGAAAATTCTTTGAATGGATCTGCGCCTGTATGAAATCCAAACGGCTGTCCATATTCACAGGAGTCCAGCGTCTCTCACCTTATAAGTAACAAAAAAATAATCTGTGTTCCTGTAAACATGCATCTAGGTTTTGAAGTATCCATCGAACTGTTGTTGCCATAGAACGCGGCGTTCCAAAGAAGCGGCTGTGACAGCGACTATATTTCAAACTTTTAGTCTCAGAGTGGGAAAATCTTAAACTGTGCTTTGTTTCGTTTGGACAAGACAACGGGCCCCTAAAGCCCCTACGATTTAGACCCGCATAGGCCTAATGTATGAAAAATCTGGCAAAAACTCTGGTATACGCTGGATAAGCTATGGGTACGTTTTGTATAAGTTATGAAAATTGCTCAAAATGTCTTGCCAGCGTATGCAGTACCTGGGCCATAAATTACAGGCATGTTATCTGATGGTTGACATATGTTAAGTGTAAGTTACTCATAAGTCATAGCTTCCAGCTTATCCTAAACCTATGAGTAGCTTCTCCTCCAGACTGCATCTCCATCATAGGGTGAGCGAGAAGGTGAGTGTGATGAATCCACCCTGTGTTCACTCCTACGGCCGCGACCAACAAGTTTCCTAGCAGATATGACGCTGAATCTGCTGCAACTGCAAACCTTTCTTTCTTTTTCTTTCTTTCTTTTTTTGGGTGGGTGGTAAACAGCAGCCAGGTTAATACTGCGATCAAAGCCATCTTTTTATGCAGACTGTGTGCCCGAGGGGAGCAGCTTTAACTGAGCTGCTTTAGCTTTGTAATGCTCATAAAATGATGCACAAGTTAGGCTGTCGTTGAACATAAGAGCTGGACTCATTGTGAATACTCTATGTATACGACCATAAGTTCAGCGTTTTAGGAGATTCTGGGACATCAGGCATACACTGGACAAATCAGCAAGGTGTGACAGGGCCCCAGGGGGCTTTTCCTGGAACTGCCTCGAACTCAACGCTATTTCTGACATTTGAATTGAAAAAGCTTCCTGGATGGGAAGTTGAAAAACTACCTACTGTGAGAAACTTTGAATCTGACTCTGATCTGGTTGACTTGTCTCTGTCAAGTGTGTGAATTGGCCCTATATAAATTAGGGCTGGGTAATTCATTGCATTTGCAATAAAATCTAAATTTTGAAATCATAGAGACACTGATTTTTAATCATATTTTTATCGGCACTAAATTTCTCCCTCCAGCCCTTTGTGGCTTTCTCCACATTGAAAGGTAGAGAGTTGCAGCTGGCACGTAGATCTATGATTGGAAGTAGAAGTAAACATTTGCTCACTCAATAGTTACAGTAATGTCCTGATACTGGACTCTGGGAAAACAAGCTTTGTAAAACTGAAAGGCTGAAGGTGAAACATCTGTAAGATTGGGGTCAGTGCAAAGAAAAATGGAAATTAAATTGCAATTTTGGTTAAAAATAAATCACAATTTAGAATTTTGGCAAAATCTTTCGGCCTTAATACACTACTCAAAAAAATTAAAGGAACACTTTGTAATCAGAGTATAACATAAGTTAATTAAACTTCTAGGATATTGATTTGGTCAGCTCAGTAGCAGAGGGGGTTGTTAATCAGTTTCAGCTGCTTTGGTGTTAAATAAATTAACAACAGGTGCACTAGAGGGGCATCAACAAGACGACCATCATAACAGGAATGGTTTTACAGGTGGAGGCCACTGACATTTTTTCCCCTCCTCATCTTTTCTGACTCTTTTTCAACAGTTTTGCATTTGGCTAGGGTCACTGTCACTACTGTTAGCATGAGGCGCTACCTGGACCCTACAGAGGTTGCACAGGCAGTCCAACTCCTCCAGGACTGTACATCAATGCGTGCCTTTGCCAGAAGGTTTGCTGTGTCTCCCAGCACAATCTCAGGAGCATGGAGGAGATTCCAGGAGGCAGGCAGTTACTCCAGGAGAGCTGGACAGGGCCGTAGAAGGTCTACAACCCATCAGCAGGACCGCTATCTGCTCCTTTGTTTGAGGAGGATCAGGAGGAGCACTGCCAACAAAATGACCTCCAGAAGGCCACTGGTGTGAATGTCTCTGACCAAACAATAAGAAACAGACCTCACAAGGGTGGCCTGAGGGACGATGTCCTCTAGTTGGCCCTGTGCTCATAGCCGGGCACCGAGGAGCTCGATTGGCATTTGCCACAAAACACCGAAATTGGCCAGTCCACCACTGGCGCCCTGTGCTTTTCACAGATGAGAGCAGGTTCACCCTGAACACATGTGACAGACGTGAAAGGGTCTGGAGAAGCTGTGGAGAACGTTATGCTGCCTGTAACATCGTTCAGCATGACCGGTTTGGTGGTGGGTCAGTGATGGTCTGGGGAGGCATTTCCATGGAGGGACGCACAGACCTATACAGGCAAGACAACGGCACACTGACTGCCATTAGGTATCGGGATGAAATCCTTGCACCCATTGTCAGTCCTCCTGGTGTACGACAATGCCCGGCCTCATGTGGCGACAGTATGCAGGCAGTTCCTGGAGGATGAAGGAACTGATACCATTGATTTTCATTTCCATCAAATGATGTGGCATCCTTTCTTCCTAACATCACCCAGTCCATATCAGTAGAAATAAACAGCATGTTTTTTTCCCCATTGAGATCTGATGTGTTTTCAAAGTGTTCCTTTAATTTTTTTCAAGCAGTGTATAAATGAACTAAACTGAAATTTGACGGGCCACTTTTTGGAGGTCTTGTAGTTTTGGATAGCTGTGTCCTTAGATCTGCACAGCTCCACTTCAGTAGTTTTTGTCTCTGCAGGTTTGCCAAAAAATAATTCATTCATATTTTTTGGGGTGGGGGGGTATTAGTATTTTTCTCTGCGCCAACCAAATGTTCTGCATCTCCAATGTTTGATTGTTTTCATGGCCTTTAATGTTGTTTTCCAGAGTCCGTTATCATGGGACTTTATTGTTGCATGGAAAATGTTTCCTTCTTGCTGGCATGCATGGATCTGCATTCTATCTGCTGCGGCTCCTCTTCTGTGTGGCAGCAAATCCACTTTCAGCTAATTATACCCATCTAAAATGGCTGGAGTGAGAAATCATCTGTCCCACTTGTTTTAAATGGAACAAAACCAAAAATAAAGCGTGTTTCCATTCTGGAAATTGCTAGTTTTTTTTAAAGAAGTTGTGATTATTTTGCGATGCAATTAATTGTCCAGCCCTCCTCCTCGGTATAACACGATGAACTGTGCCTTTTCCAAAAGAGTTCACTTATGATCAGATTCATTACTTCCCCTCCACTATGTGAAGAAATGATGTGAGATTCTCCGGTTTGCTACTCTTAGGCTGGGAAGTATGAAGAGTCTCTCAAACACCTTGAAGCGCTGCAGGAGCTCAACAAAGAAGACTACAAAATCGCCATGAATAAAGCTGTGGCCGAGTTTTTTAAAAGTGGTCAAACTACGACGGGCACATTGAAGCAGACTCTCATGGCTATGAAGAATCGGGTAAAAGCACACTTTCATTTGTTTCCTTCTGCACGTATGTCTTAGTTCATGACAATGACCTGAAATGTGTTTTTCAGGTTCACACAACGGCAGACGATGTGGACGGGCTGGATGACGTGGAGAATAGTTTGCTGTACTATAATCAGGCCATCATCCACTACCACATGAGGCAGTACTCAGAGGCCATCTCTATAGGAGAGAAGCTCTATCAGTTTATCGAACCATTTGGTACGTTTTGCTGCTTTGTGACATCTGCCACTTGTTTTAGGCATTTTTACTACTTTTAGAAAAGAATTGGAAAAATGATGATCCTCACCACTTGTAAACTGGCCGCTGCAGACGGGCTAACGTTGGCCCCGGCCGCCGCAGACGGGCTAACGGTAGCCTCTGAGGTCAGCTGGTTGCCACTGTCCTCTCAACATTGGAACTTTAAAAAAAAAATAAAAAATAATGCACTAAATCAGTAAATGGACCATATAGTGAAGGTATAATTTTCCTCCTCAAATGATCTTTAAATGTACTTTTATAGCCGAAAACAATGGCTGAAAAAGAGAACTTTAACTTAATACTCTGAGCTCTGTGATCGCTCATCTGGAAGCTGCTGCTGCTGCCGCAGTGCATGATGGGACAGCTGTCAGTCTCAAGAACAGACAAGTCAGCTCTGATGCATGCTGGGTAAATAGGGAGGGGCGAAAACAACATCCGGGGACTTTATCAGTTCTCGGTCTTCTGTTATTATGAATTGGAACAATACTAGGGCTGAGGCTGATGACGTTTCATGAGTACACGAGCACATGAGAACAAACAAGTACACATATTGAGAAACGGCCCCAGAAATATTTCTCTGCTCTCCGCCGTGTAGAAAAAATTTACCTCAGCTTTTCAACTCTGGTATCCCAGATTTCCAGACTGTTTGTGTGCGATTTCATGTCACCTTTTGGTGTTTACCATGATTACTATGCTCCATGAAAGGAGCACTAATTACTCCATTTTTTCTAGAAGAGAAATTTGCCCAGTCGGTGTGCTTTCTGTTGGTGGACCTCTACCTGCTGACGTTTCAGCCAGAGAAGGCGCTTCATCTCCTGGCCGTCCTGGACAAGATCTCTGTACAGGGAAGCAACAAGAATGGCAAAGGAGAGGTAGCTCACTAATTACCTGTGCATTTCACCAGTTAAGATCTGAACACACCAGTTGCATACAGTTTTTCCATCTCTGATCAGTTTTTTTTTCTTCAATGTCACTCTGACTGCGTATAGAGAGGCTCCAACTAGGCAGGGTGATTTTTTTTTTTCACTTTTGTCTCTGTGCGATATTATAATTAAAACAATTTCCCACTTTTGACTTGGACACTAGTGATGGTTAATGAGGCATAATGGTCCCGAACTGTATGATGCTGCGTTGATACTGTCTCACAAAATACTGACACCTGCTGGACATTTAAAGACACTACAGGCAGCTTATTGGACAGACTGAACTGAATTGATTTGATGAACTAGAACAATGATATAATTTAAGGTTTTGTAGGTTATATTGTATTATTTCATATCTATGTTTACATAAAAAATATCTTTGATGTTTTTAGATGCAGCCAATAAATAATGTGTTCATATATCATAATGTGAAAATTTAGGGGCAAATGTGAATGAGGATGCTGCTAAACTAGGATTTTATATCATACGTTTTAAAAGAGTAGGGACAGTAAAAATAGTAAATTAGCTAAGAGTCAATTTGAGATTAACTTTAATTCAGATAAGTTGAGTGATAACTGAGAAGAAAAGAATGACACAACAAGAAGATTAAAATAAAAACGCAAACGGCTGAAATGTTCCTATTCCTTTTAGGCTGCTCCAAAACTCTTGATAATTTTGATGATAAATGGGAAAAGAGGAGATTTTCTTTTTTTTAGCAGATGCATGATGATGACAGATACGATTTTAAACACAGTTTAGTGATTCAGTCAGTTAGAAACAACTCCTATATCGATCACATGACTTTCTTAAACTGACACGCATATAACACGCTACAGTGTTTTACTCTATGGGCTCCACGCATGTGTGGACCCATCCCTATTCCACAGATTATGAAGAGTTTTTAAAAAATAAATTTAAAAACACCACCGGTGCAGCTATAAAGCAAGCCCCATATAAAGTCTGTGCAGCATCTCAAACCAGATCAGATAGAGAATGTTCATCTATTAAAAACATAATTATATCTACGTCTAAAGAAAAGAAAAACACTTGTATAAATACAGTGAGACGTTTCTCTGCTGACTGAGGCAGAGAGGTGATTCTCAGAGAGAGAGCCGGGAAGTTTATCCAAGTTTTTCATTTTTTTTTCATAAATAGGTGAGAGAGATAAGCTGCACTTATCTGCTCCGTTTTCCCCTCGTTCTTTATTAATTTCTTATTTCTGAGCCTCAATGAGGATCAATACTTTATCTATTTTCCATCCTCTTGAATTTCTATCATGGGTAAAGTATTCAATCTTAATAATTTTTTGCTTACTATTAATGCTCTATGTAACTCTGAAACTGACTCTTTTCTCCGGGCGATTAAAGATTTTATTTAGTATTTTCCCCCAAAACGGATGTGTTTTACTCTGTAACTCTCTCTTCCAGTCAGACCAATGAAATTGCCTCTGAATTTCTGCATAGTCTGACTTTATAGACCTGGAGTGTATCTCAGTTGGAGCTCGGTGCCCCCTTAGGTAAAATCGTGTTGGGTGTGATCATCCCCATTGACTTTCAATGAGCGCTAAATGCCACAACATCGTCAACACTATTTTCTGTCCATTCCGATGCAAATGTTGGATTTGATATGTTCTGGCCTTAATTTGATTTGATAAGGGCTACAAAACACGATGTGAAATATTCAGCTCACATCTTCCTGATTATTTCAAACCACCGGTTTGGAATAAAATATTTGTATGGAAATAAGGTTTGGCAATATGCCAGTAAATTAACATCTATGATGAAGGATTAGGGCCAGAATAAAGAAATTTGTTTTTGACAGGTTTTAATACAAGAACAAAGTTCATATTATTTAGTTCCAAGTCCTGCATGTCATCCCCTGCTTTGAAAGGAGGACTTTTGAGAAGTCTGTGAAGTTATATTTTCAGGCCTTTCTTTACAAATAAGAAAACCTTTCAGCCCATCAGCATCAAATGATTAAGCTATGATGTTAAACAATCAGAGCTCGGATGATGTTTGGTAGTTTGTGCTGAAAGGACTAATAATTTAATGGCTTTGTTCTATTGTGACTGATTTGAGAAAACTATGAGTTTATTCTGCTATTATTTGTGTCTCTGCTTCTGTCTCCTTGAACCCCAGTCGGCCTCAGTCACACTGAGCCTGGTTCTGCTGGAGGTTTCTTCCTGTTAAAAGGGAGTTTTTCCTCTCCACTGTCGCTACAAGCATGCTTAGTGTGAGTGATTGCCTTTGAGTCAGTGAGTCGATGCAATCAACTGGTTTTCCTTAGATAGAAAACTTTGTATCAATCCGACTGGATGATCTGGTGAACTGGAAAGTGCCTTGAGATAATGTGTTGTGAAATGGCGCTATAGAAATAAATTGAATTGAATTGAAATAATAATATTATGGGAATGAAGTACAAATTAATTTTTATTTTATTTATATATATTGTTTTAGTCTGGCCCTAATACTCTATGCTAACTATCAAATATGGCAGTAGGTAGGTGACCTTAGTTACATCATTTCCATGTGGAGAATGTTTTAGATGCATGTATTGTTGTCACCATAGCAACATTTCAAACTATCGATAAATAACCTGGGAAATATTCAATACTTCAATAATTTCAGCTTCATGTTTTTAAAATGATCCTCATGGAATGAAGGAGAAAAAAGGGAGATTTCTTTTAAGGTGCAGGATTGCTGAACTTTAACTGGAATGAATATTGTTAACTTTTGATTGTTTTTTTTTTTATTTCTAGAGCAACACCTCAACCAAAGAAGGATCAAACCAGAAAGCAGAGTTTGCAGCAATGATGGAAGCAGCTAAATCTAAAATCCACCAGGTAGGATGTAACCAAAGGGACTCGTTGATTCTCTGTAAAGTTGGGAATTGGCACTTTGAATTTCAGCCCTGATCTTTGTAATAGAAGCTGTTTAATTTCCCTTTGGGATTAATAAAGATTTTTGAATTGAATTGTTGAGGTTTCTTGTAGATTCACTGGCCTCCTTGTGTCTTTCCAGTACAAAGTGAGAGCCTACATTCAGATGAAGTCATCCAAGGCCTGTAAAAGAGAGATCAAGTCGGTGATGAACACAGCGGGAAATGTGAGTATCTGTTGGTTCTGAAACAGATTCAAGTCGTACAGAAAGTTAGATCAAAACAGAGGCATAAAATATAATAGATTATTATTACATTTCTTCAAATTCTACTAAATGTTTGCTCATTTCTGACAGTACCCTGCAAAAAAAAAATGAAATTTATATAATTTTTATTAAAATAAATGCTCTTTTTCTTGAATTGAGGAGGAACATGAGACACTTTCCCAATGGACTAAGATGATTTATAAATAAAATAAGAAAATACAATTGTATTGTCTTCTTTCAAGTCCATTTTATCTAATTATCTTATTTTAGGAGTGAAATTACTCCTTGCATTGGCAAATCAGGGTAAATGCTCTTAATTTAAGAAATTTTTACTTATTTCTAGATGCTTTTTGCTGTGTAGCAGTCATATAGCTGATCATATTGTTTAAAATAAAGTTGTATCTTTTTTCAGTCTGCACCCTCGCTCTTCCTCAAGAGCAACTTTGAGTATCTAAGAGGGAACTACCGGAAAGCAGTGAAGTTGCTGAACAGCTCAAACATCGCTGAGCATCCCGGCCCCTTTAAAACAGGTGATGACATCCCTATACACCCCAGTTTATCTTTGATTTGAAAGTAAACTTGAGCTGGAAAGAACTATAGACCATTTATTCTTGTTATTTGGAAAATGTCTTATATTCAGAGGCATCAAGTAACCAAGTACAAATATGTCGTTACCTTAAGTAGAACATTTGGCTATCTATACTTTACTACAGTATTTTTTACACAACTTTTTACTTCTACTCCTGACATTCTAAAAGTAGACACTTTAGTTTTCTTTCAATTTCATTATGACCCGTTGGTATTTAAAAAACAACAAAAAACATCAAAATAATTGGTTTCATCCAGACAATTCACTTCTTTGTGGTTGGACTCGGTGCTGCCCCAACTCAGCGCATACCAAAATCGTTTTTTTAAGATGATGCAAAGTTAAATTTGATGCTGTTACCATTAGTTTTAAAACCCCCAAAAAAATGAAGTCTAAGAAAGTTATCATGCAGAATTGTAGAAAATGTTCCTTTAAGCCTGGCATACATGATGTGATTTTTTTTCAGTTGTTGCATGCAGCTGCTGCTCACACTGTACGACCATCCGCAGGCTTCAGTTGTACATTGTGAGCTCACAGCTCATGATTTATGTTCGGCCCGACGCTCTGATGAGATCTACCTGCTCAGACTGTACGACTAAAAACCACGTCGGACTCAGCTCCGCAGTGAGATGGAGCTGCTCTGACTCCTCTGTCCAGAAGTCAAACCAGTAGAGGAGGAATATGAAGCTCACTAGAGTGAAACGCGCTGCCTTGGCTATTAGTGCACTTTTGTGCTGAAAGCCCTAAAAAGAAAAGGCGACAATATATTAGGAAAAAAGACATGGCTGAGCAAATGTTGCTACTACGGTCTGTCAATTTTACAGAAAAGAACTCCATTTCACTCATTGCAACCCCGCCATGCTGCTGGGTTTACATCTGAGAGGAAGAAGAAAAAGAAGAATCCTTCTTTGCGCCCTGAGCGATTTGCCCAAAAATTAAACAAGTTTGATTTTCTCCCGACCTCACGATTCCTAATCGGGAGGTGGTAGTGAGAGGCTGATCGCCGCTCGTAACCTCCTGTACGCGACACAGCGCACGATCGGGCTGAAAGCCGGCCCGATCGAAAGATTCTCGCATGATTGGAAAATTGCCCCGAAAATCGCACAGTTTACGTCGGGCTTTAATAGGGTAGAGCAGTAAAGCTTTTTTCTGCATTACTTTTACACTTTAAGTAGCTTTAAAATGTGTAGGTTTACACTTTTACTTGAGTAAAGAGCTGAAGCTGATACTTCAACAAAAAAAAACTTCTACAGAAAGGTTTTTTTTATAAAGGTATGAATTATATTTCTACTTTAGTAATAGACATGAATACTTTTGACACCTCTGCTTTTAGTAAAAAAATAAATCCAAAAATCCTGTACAGCGTCTTTCAGGTTTTATAAATCAACAAAGACTTTAGATACTCATTGAGTGATTCAGACATTACACTTTCTGTTACTTTGCCATTAGTTTCTCCTTCTTTAACTAAATGCACAATAAAGTGAAACTGTTCTAAACACATTTAGACTGGTGATGTTAAATGATTCACCTCTAAACATCTGGGAAGTGTTTGGATTATTGGAAGTAGTGATGGGTTCATTAGGTGCCATGAAGCATTTCAACACATTAAAGCTACAGTGTGTAATAATTACAGGGATATACAGTCAGAAATG